AAAAAAAAAAAAAAAAAAAAAAACATATGAAGAGATAACTGCGAATAATAGAGCTGTTCCAGAAAGCTGCTTTGTTTATCAAGTTCAATGTTTTCATGGTTTTTCTAGTATTTTCAGAGCTCATACACACAAATTTGGCGATAAATGGATGGGTAGTAGGAAACCGGAATGGTATTACTACTTTTTATGTGGTTGGAAAGGCATTTTAGAACGATTGAATATATCTCCGAAAGGCATGAAGATATTGGTGTCTGGTTCGTCATAATCCTGTGATATTTTAGGTCTATATCATTAGTCAAACATTTTTGAAGTTTTCCTGTTTCAAACTGATTATATAAGTGAAAGCTGCATTAAACTAAGTTTTTCACAAACCGTAATTTTGAATATATATAAAACTTGAGTGAAAGGACCGTTAACAGGGAGCTTACATCTCATTCAATTTTCTCCACTATATAATAAGGTTCTAGGTACTATACCGCCAGGCGCAGGTCTCTCTAGCTCAAGCTCCATCGTTTGTGCTGGAGCGCTAATTACACTAGTTGCACACACAGGAAAGACTTTTGATGTCATCAATAAGGTTATACTGGATTGAATAATTGTCTAAATTGTAGTATGATTAAAACGTTATGACTCAAACTAAAATTTTTATCTGAACGCAGAACTTTTCACTGTGTGATGTAAAACAAATATCATAAGACCGTTCTTAGTACTCGGAGTTATTTATGAAGTAATCACAGTTATATAACTGTTGTGATTTCCAGGCCGAATTTGCTGAAATATGTGCTAAAGTTGAAAGATACGTTGGTGTAGAAGGTGGTGGTATGGATCAAGCAACTGAAATATTGGCTAATGAAGGTTCCGCAATGCGCATTGAATTTGGTCCTCTGCGAGTTTACCCTGTAATTCTTCCTCAAAATGCTCTCTTTGCAGTTGTTCATTCCGGAGAGACAATCAACAAAGCAGCTAGTTCTCAATATAACGAACGAGTTGTAGAATGTCGTTTGGCTGCTCAAGTAACTAACCTATTTGCATTCCTTTCATTCAAAAATGACATGACTGCTTAAATTAAAAATTATTATTACACAAAGGCTTCATATTTCAAATTTAATTTAAGAGCTCACTGAAAAACTGCAAAAAATAACTTAAAAGTTGTATCTATTTTCGATTATGGCAAAACTTTATGGTCTTGATGAATGGATGAAAATACGAACATTAGGTGAACTTGCTCAGAAAATGAGAAAAAATGCCTCAGAAATGATTGCTGTAGTAAAAGAAATCCTTCAAGCTTCCATCTACACGAAAGACAATGCTATAACTTTGCTTAGCATTACAGAAGAAGATTTCAATAAAACAATACTGTCACTGAATACTCAACACAGTATGGTTTAATATTTTTGCCAAAAAAGAAAATGGAATGAAAATTAAGCTATAAAGAAAAAACACTACAACAAACTTTTCGATCTATTTTCTTTTGAATAGTGTATTCAAAAAATCATTAACTCCTTCTTTTTAAATATCTTTAGTGAATACATTTAAATTGGCCCAAAGAGCATTACACGTGTACGCGGAAGCTAGTCGCGTTCGCCTATTTCACGAAGCGTGTAAAAGGGGTGAACTTGAAACGATGGGAAAATTAATGAATGAAAGTCACAGTAGCTGCAAAGACCTGTTTGAGTGCTCTTGTGAAAAACTTGACGCAGTAGTAAGTTTTCCTATGTTGATTACGATTCTGCATTTAGTTATAAATGAGAGGATTTCAAGAAACTGGTGAAATTTTCTAAGATGTGTACTATGGAAATGCAAAAGACTTAATAAAAAATCTCTGTTAGATCGTAGCGGCAATGCACATTATAGCAGTGTCAGTAAGTTAATTTAAACGAACGCAAAGAGCTTAAGAATTATATCTTAAAAATTCAAAATGACAAGAACAGTGATCTTTCAAGTAGTCTATAGCTTCCGAATAGATTTATTTTGTATTTAGGTAGAAAAATGCTTGAGAAATGGTGCGTTGGGAGCACGATTAACTGGAGCCGGTTGGGGTGGTTGTGCAGTTGCTCTTTTCACTAATAAGCAACCAGAGTTTGAAGTACTGTTTTGGAGTCGACCAGCAAGAGGCATACAGTTGATCGAAAGCTAATATAGATAAATATTAGATTACTTTCCTGAAACCATAAGTGTTGTAGTACCTACGTTTTTTGTTAATAGTTAAACTGATAGCTATGATTTGTTTTCTGAAAAACTCTTTATAAACTGTTTTTTATGTGAACGACGAAAAAAGTCAATTTTTATCACACATAACACTAAATCTCAGGTATTAGCATTACTTTAACCAAGACTGATTGCACCTAGGTTGCTTGGACTGTTTTACAATTCAAACAGCTTTTCTTTTCAGTAATTAATTATAATTTTAGACACAAGGAAGAAATATAAGAAGCTTCTGACATTATGTGAGATACTCATTAGAAGTTTATGTAACTTTAGAAAGGACAAAAACTTTCCAACTCTTGTGCATACTACTGATAGTCTAGAATGTTTTATAAATCATTAAAATAACTATAGTGCAAGCAGAAGATATATACAAGAAGAGTCATTTTCATTTGCCAAATAAATAAGAAACAACAATGAGACTGACGACCCTCGTGTTAGTCATTAAAAGATGATTATTTCACTGAAGAAATTTCGGAAGAGTCGAAAGGAAAACTTTCGTAACGTTAAACTTGATATGAATTTATGCTGAACTGAAGCCGTTCGGTACATCATGAACTGTAAATCGTCTTTTCTGAGGCTTCTAAAGAGCATAAGTATCTGCAGAATCCTGAAATTAAGTTAAAATACATACGGAATGAATCAGAAACAAGCGGTCAAATACACGATATATGCTGTTCTTTGGATCAAGCACCCGTCTGTGTGAGGATTCATTTTCATGCGCGTCGCTTACGTGGAGTTGGCCGGGTCATATGTTGCTTCCACAATTTCGAGCTACTGGAGTAATCCCGACGTCGTCTTTCGTCCCCTCGTTCCTTGCCTAATTTTGCAATCTCTTTATTTATCTGAAATATACAGGTAAATATGGAGTTTAATTCTTTTCAAAAGCAAATTAACATAGGCTAAGTACGAAATACCCTCTCTATTAACTTTCATATAGGAGAAGATAATAGAGGAAATTGGTGGTGAAGCAAAGCAAACTTTTTGCTGTCGTGTCACTTTTTCGATTGGGAATGGACTGATAAGGTGGTAAAGTGATATGATTAAGGAGATTAGCCATGCAAATATTCTTTTGCTGTACTCAAGCATCTGAAAGCTTACTTATGAGCTTCGCAACTGAGAACGTTTACAAACTGTGCTTCCCATGACAGCTGAGAAGTGTGCCAAAATTAGAGAACTGCAAACTAATATGCATGCATTTCTCGAAAGATACACAGCCTGTGCTTGGAATGAATGCATTTTTGCTCTCAAAATGACTCTTTGGACTAAGTACCGAATGAATCGCTTGTCGCCTTCCAATCTTATCTCATTTGTCACAATTTGTATGACACGTTTTGCGTGAGAAAACCTTGAGAAACTACTACTACTACCGGTTTCTGACTACTACTTTAATTACAAAAAATAATGTTAAAACAATGGATGCAACTTTAGCTAGAACACCGAATGAATGAAAAGAGAACAATCGATTTTTGTTCCTTTTACCAACTTTCAAAAACAACAATGGACTATGGGAACTAGGGAGGCAGAGGGGAGAGAAAGGAAATTCCAGATCCCACAAGTCAGTATTCTGCGTAGTCTCGTACTGTAATTGCCCTCTCAGGACCATATCTACTTATATGTGCTGCTAGCAAAATAATTGGTCTCTTGGGATGCTTGAGGCATCAGAAAGCTTATTGTATTAATTTGCAACAAAAAAATTTTGAAATATCGAGACCTTTTCAAAATTTTTAAAAACTACAAAAAGAGGAAAAGCTGTCGAAGGGAATAGGAAGTAATTTCGTACATTTGGTTCAGGCATTTTTCATATCCACGCAACGGAAGGAAAATAAATTTGTAACGTTACAGATTAATCACATTTTGGTAGTTCCTTGATTATTTTTAACTTTTTCATCAACCTACTACTCTATACGTCTATCATACGTGATTAAAGCAGATCAGTCTGGTTGTCAGCTTTCAACTGTTTGTTCAGTGTTGCTGTGCACATTTAATAGCCTAGCCTCCTCAATTTCCTAATACAGAGCGTGCATACTGATGCACTTTTATGAATGCTGAACAGTATATAAATTTTATGAATGATATCAAACTATAACTATTAAATTTCAGATGTTAGCAGTAACGATAATAGCGGAGAATTAATCGAAATATCAAATGGATGACGAATATTTCATGGTGAAGAAGTTGCGTTGCATTTATAATAACATCAGTTCACTTTGTGCTACTGGTATCAGCAAACAATTATAGTGACTGCGAAAATGTAATTGAGAGAAGTGTGTTTCATTAAGCAAATACAGTAAGTTTCTGAAGTTCAGCTGCTGACGAATGATTCAGAGCGGCCAGTCTCGATCATGATCTTCGTTACCGCCGATGTTTGTTGCACTTTCAGAGTCCGGGCACTCCTCGATGGAATGACTCATCTGATTCTCTCCTTCACTGTTGTCGTTGTTCTGTACGAAATTTCAGCAATTATTAGTGATATAGTTAGTATATGCTTTGAATATTAATTTTAAAATAGTAAGAAAACAACTTTCATGAATAAAATTTTTCTAGCTTAAACTCAAGCACAAAAGTGAGAGTAAAGTATTTGACAAAACATTCATAACTTCGAATATGATAAGTTTTTTACTGAAATCTGCTTGCAGTAATTCATAATTTTCAAAAGCCACGTCAAGGGTTAAATTGTTGCTGTTTGAAAGCGTAAGAAACATTACCATAATTTTTTTGTTGACGTCATTCTCGGTATCAACTATTGTTAGTTTCATTGCATAGCATAATTGAAATTGCTTATCAGGTGTGATGTGGTAACTGTACAGCAATTCAAGCACCATATGCTTCAGTTCTCTCAGTATTAACGCATCACATTCGGCAATTAACCTTAACAATTGATTTCTTTTTTTAGCTCAACCAGTATTAGCTGCACTTATACAGTTTTAGAGATTATAATTACTTAAGTATAGCGAGTAATCCGCGGAGAGAACTAACAGAAATAAATGAGAGGGTTCCGAAGGTAATGCAAAATATTGCAATGACTTCTGCTTTTTATGACGAAGATAGCTTAGAATCTCGCGAAATGCTTTTCCGTCCCGATTTAGAAAGTAGTAGCCTGAAGTTCACACCTTTCTCAAATTAGCAATATATTTACAGCTGAGAGGGAAGAGACTGAAATTAAAAGTAAGCATAAGCTAAAAAATAATTGGGAAGACTCCAACTTTTTCGTTCTACTCTTCTATTAGCGAGAACATCTGAAGCTATAAATACTTACCTCGACTGTCAATAGGTAATTGTATTTTTGTACCAATTTTAAACCATTTTGCAAGTTTGCTTTCCGATGCTGCCGTGAGAATATCTCTGCATACGTTGAAACGTTTACCTCCGCAATTCACGTTCAACACTTCATGTTCATTCCAATGTGGTGACATTACGCTAGAAAATATTCTTCTAAAAATCGTTTCAAAGTTATTTTCTTTCAATTGCAACAAAAAAAGACTTCGACAGAAGGTTCTGATGGTGCAGAAAATTTCAAGCTGAACTTTTGATAATATCCACTGTTGAAAAATAGTTAAAGTGTTCAGATTTAAATTGTCAGAAGTCATTCATCGGAAACTAGCGAATAAGAGAATGCAAATAAATGTTCAATCTGTTAAAAACTGCTCATAAGTAATGCTTTAATTTCCAATTCTTTTAACACCATTGCTTTTTCATTATACTACTGATTTGTTTTAACAAATTATATTTAAAATTTAGTTTTTATCATTTTGCCTTTCAATTTTTATCAGTGCACTATGGCATCACTTGTTAAACGTAATGAACGGTTTCGTTTTCAAATGTCGAATCGAGCGTTCCTTCGAAAATTTCCTTATCCGCCCCGTCCACGCTATGCTACTTCATGAAAATGAATGGTAACAAGTATCAAAGTGAACTATGACCTTTTACTTAACTAAACACTAATTCGTATTTATTACCGGATTCATAATTTAGAGTATTTTGATTGCGTTTCGAAAGTTTTAGTTTTTTAAGCACTTCATCTTTTGTGCAACTTGAAAGTAAACGATTATGAATTATAATTATTCCACTTATTCAGATAATGAATTTTGTAAAACGATTTGAGCTTTTATCACTGATTTTGTAAGTCACTGCCGACATGAAGTAATTGAAGCAGAAAGCTTGAAAATTAATTTGACTGTGCAAACATCCCACTGAACCTCTGACAAATATATCATACAGTTCGATTAGGCATACATAGCTAAATGAACGTTCAAGAAGGGATGGCGATCACCGCTTCCAATTCATGTTTATAACGAACAGCACTGATGAGGTATGGTACAAAATAAATACCAATGAAATATAAGTACTGAAAGTTTGCGTGATAATAATGGAGTGGTGAGAGTGTGAGCAGGAAAGGAAGTTTTAAAGAAGGACAACACTTCTAAAGCCGTGAGTGAAATTGAAAAGGAAAATTTGGACTGAGAATGCAGTGAAAAAAATTGCCGGAAAACGAAAGGTTTCGCTGAACTATTTGAAACGAACCAAAAATTGGATTCTTTTTTATTTGAGGCAATTTAATGTATATGTAAAATTTATGGACAAAAGTTTGTCTAAATTTGTTGAAAATCGCTCTCAAATCCTTTGCTAAACTAAATTCGCCAAGCGTGCAAGCCAGGACAGATAATTAGCCCTGCAAGAATCATTTTCGATAGCACTAATGGCATTCAACGATTTGAAATTTTCCGGCATGTCACACACTTCAAAGTAAGAAAAAGCTGAGATTCAAAATTAAAGCAGAAGAAAAAATAATTCATTCACTGAGTCTTCCATTTAGCGCTCTATTCTCATTTGAAAATTACTCTTTAATTTATTTTAAAATTTGTAACAAAATTTTAGATGACTCAATTGTGCTTTCATTATTAATTTTAAATAAAAATCTTGCTTAAGTATTTTCACAGTTCAGTATGTGCACTCAACAACACAAAAAATTTATATTTTCACGAACTGCATTTAAATAACGAAGAAAACCATTTTAATTCGTTCAACACAGCAAAGTATGCAACTGATATTTAAAGAAACAGAAAATATTCAATGTCAAAACTAATGAATAATATGAAGAAAGGGGTTAGTTTCTTAAGTTTAAAGTTTTTCTTAAGTGCTGGCAGTTATTCCAATTTCGGTCTCAGAAATGTTTTAATTAAATCTTGTACTTGATAATATGCAAAATAAAAACGATTAATCTTGAAAATGTTATTCATTAATTCATTTTCTGTTTACACTTTTTAGCCATTTCCGAATTCCAACTGATTACGCTCATTTTATAAATGATCTAACATTGCAATCATTTGAAAGAACCTATTTTAAGTCATGGAAATAGACTGATTTCGTCCGCACACCAATAGTTAATTCCTAATTACTCATTCCTTAATTTATCATTTAAATTAACCTATTTGAATCGTTATGCATGATTTCACTAACTTCAATTCCAACCTTAAAATCGTGCATCAATAACGTCATCAGAAGAGCAGTCAGCATCGGTAAATGAAGTACTATTATTCAGAGATATAGCGGTGGTATTACGACTGCTAAATGTGTCAGCAAAATCAGCAACCCTCTCATCCTCTGAGCCTACTTCACACCAACCACAATGCCGAAGTACAACTTTGATTTCATTCATAATTTCCATCAACTGAAATATTCATTACATTATTGAATAAGAGATCAAATGTAACTAATCAGCTTTAATTACTTGTCATAGCTTTTTTGGTTTACAAACTTTATTTGGTCTAGAAAACAAAAGCGACTGTATTCAGTGTGTTAGATGCTAATTCAGTAATCAAGAGTGCTAGCTTAAGAACTGTTGAAGTGTTCTGAAATGATAATTTAATGCAAAAAATCATTCTGAATTATTTCATGTACAAAAATGAACTAGAAAAAGAACATGCAATTAACTGAAGCGTATAAAAAATGAAGTATACTTGATATTCTCTCATATTCAAACACAATTATTAATTATTATATAAATTTTCAATTACACTCAATTTACTCAAACTAACCAATGACCAGATTTGATTGAATTCATTTTTTTCACTCCGAAAAACAACCATTCATTGCATAATTTATTAACTCACTGCCATTCCCATATTTATTTATGCATAAGGAATGAATAACTTTAAACTGTTTTGGAGTTCATTCTTGAAAATCTGTTAATCAAATTCTGTACTTCATAATATCTTTTATATTTTTCGTTAGTCAACTTCATTAATTTTGTGCCACCAAACTTTTAACAACTTTTAGAAGAAATCTGACGCTTACACATTCTTTATGTTTATTATAGAAAAGGATCATTCTATTTTAATTCTATTTAAAATTATAAATTTGTGTATAACAAAGTGTGTACATGAGAAATGGTTTCGATGGACTCGTTATCAGCATTGTTTTTGGACATTCCATCGAGTTCATTTTTTGCCTCGCTATAAATAAGTCTAAGCAATTCAATGCCTTCTTCAACCACTAACGACACTTTGTTTAATTCTAAAAGTTTAATCAGTTACTGTCACATAAAAAATAACAATCACTTTTTATTAAGAAATAAGTGTACAATTTTAGTATTAGTAACAAATAATGTATAAAAGACTAAGATTTAGTTTTCCAGCGAATTAGATACTAAATAGTAAATTATTTATTTCCTAATTCAATAATAAATTGTTTATTTTAGATATCAACGAAAGGCACTAGACTTAAAATATTGTTGTAAAAAAAATCATTATTAAGGGTTTGTAATCAGCCTGAAAAATTGCGCAAGTAGTCGCTGATAATTGAGCACAGACCAACGATTCGCTGCTTCATTTTAGTGACAGAAAATGGTGCTAAACTTTGTGCAGCAACCTGAAAGTCAAATTAAGTTACAACAAAAAGTGAGAAGCCATGTACTTCAAGTGCAGTAATAATTTGAAGATAAAGTTTTTCAAACTATAATAGTTTATTTTTCGAGCACTATAAAATCTTTAACAAAACTTGTAATCTTAACTTCACGATAAAATTAGGTAACAGATTTTAAAGATTAGATCTTGCTTACGAACAGCTATAAAATAACGTTATGATGACCATAATAACCTTGTAGTAATATTGATGATATGATGTAGAAACTTGATCAATTCAAAACGAACCTCATAAGCCTCAATCAATTTCATGATCAGCATTTCTGAAATTGCCATCCGTTCTACGATACATCGAGAAAGTTTCAATCTTTCCTGAAGACATTCACTACGCCAATCAATCTGAAGGAGCAACGCTTCGCTGCAAGAATCCTCCAGCGTCGTACTTTCTAAAATTCTTAATCATTTATTTTATTAAAGTTTATTTGTCAGTAGTAATGATAATAATAACAGCAATATCACTGGTGCATATCGACGACATGCTTCAAAACTCCTCAGCAAAATCTATTTTTTCTTACTTTTTTTCCCGCTGTCATTAACCAAAAATTCGAAAATCGTGTATTAATATTAAAGATGTTGACATTGATGATTACTGGTAATAATGAGAGTGATAAGCTTATTATTATTAACCATTTTAATAGGACAGTTTACCGGTACTACTATCGCAGTAGCAAGCATTATTTTACAATTTTTGTTATTCTCAGTACTGTCACTATCATTATCCTTACTCACTCACTTCCATCTTCATTCATTCTCAATGATTACCTATACTGAAAATGCAAGTAAGTAAAATTTACCAACAAATAACCTCCACCACTCACATAACTTCAGTCGGTCTGTATTTGATGCAGCGCTTTGAATAACTATTTTGTAAGATTTGTGGCATAAATTCATAAGCGTTCTATAAACAAAAAAGTCAAATTATTGCAAAAGTTGAAGAGGATATGCAAATTTTTTGAGGAATAACCAAACCAAACTTCAACTTACGAATTTAATTTGCCTTTCTGCAAAGCAGCAATTCTTTCGATTATTCGCACACATTTTGCATAATTTTCGTTTTCAAATGCATTCTGCGCAACTAGTGTTAGATCTGCATTATCGTTATTAAGTATCGTCTCTGTCTTTATGTTAACTATCTGTGCTCCTTAAAATAACAAACGTGCATCTCTCATTTCAAGCAAACATTAAAAATAATTTCAGTTTTCTACGCAGCAAAAAGTTGCTAATTTATACTGTTGCTGTCCTTGCATCCCTGTACCTTTGTTTTAGTGTTACCAAATATTCACTGACATGCAACTGATTTCAAATTAAATACATTTTATAACATTTCATTGAATTTTCTGCAGAGAGAAGACTGACTGCCTGCCTTGTTATATCGCAATTACTCTTTAAAATATATGTGAAAGGTCAGAGCCCATTCAGTTTGAAAGAGAAATTAAATAACGATTATATACGCTATGAAATGAATAAGAATCTTTAACTTCAGATGCAAATAAACCTTTATCCAATTTTGACTTTATTCAGCACACACATTGCTGACATCTCAAAAAAATTTGTCATAATCTTTTAGTTTTTATTATTATGTTATCATAGTTTTGAGACTATATTCCGCAAAATTATTCAAATTTTAGCAAACTGTTTTCAGCTCAGTATTTAGACAGACAGGAAAATTCCAAATTACGTCGATTTGCATGCTGGAGTGGCAACTGTCCATTACCGTTATTTCGAGTTATATACCAATCAAAATTGCGTTGAGGGGCCAAAGTATTTAGAGATACATTGGAAGCGTACATGTTACGCAAGTAAATTAATTTCTGAAAAAAATGTAAACTTTGAAATAATTTAAGCACAATGCAGTCTTTTAATCTCGTTGAGCACTGAATGCAAGATACCTGAATAATCTCATCAGCAATGACATCAGCCTGAGGAAATTGCTGGTGCCTGAGATGAGAGCACTCCTTGCTCACTTCTTTAATCTCCTCGGCCAATTCTCCAATTAATGTTAACTTCTTTTCCATTTTGCTGCAAAAAAGAGCTGAGCAAGAGTTAAACAGTAAAATGAGAATGGAAGAAGCCGATTTAAGAATAAGTGTAAGAACGAACGCACACAGCAAATACTTCACAAAGTAAGAAAGGAAGTCACTTAAAAATAGAACAAAAATAAAAATAAAATTTAAAAAATGACAAAAAACGAGGGAATGATGAAGTGGCACTGCAGGGGTACTGGTGTAATATATTACAACCTCAGAAGTCAAAGTGCAAGTGTATCTTTTAATGAAGACTTCAAATTGATCTAGCGACAAATAATACTGAAAATAATAAATTTATGCAGGTCTTAATTCTTCCTAACGTTTTGAACAGTAAACTTGATTTTCTTGCGAAAATTATTTAAATATTCGCATTTCAGAATTTTTCTTCTGAATAGAAAAATCTGATCTTAGATCATTTTAAGGTCCTTCGGTCAATCGATTGGGTGACTGTGCAGCAATTTTGTATTTTCAACATTATATTGGAATTTTTGTTGCTAAACTCTGTTAAAGTATTTCCATCGTTAAAAAATTGAAAATGACAGACAGTAAAAGACAAACTGAAATGATCTGAACTGTCAAATAGTCAAACAAAATGGAGTAAAGAATGAATGAGTTCGTTGCGGTGCAGAAATTACTAAGTTAAACTAACGAATAATAAAAGATACAGTCGTGTACTTTATTTTGCTTTTCAGGCAGTAATTTTCCTCACGTGTAAGCTTAGGAGAATGCTTACTTTTGTCATCTGAGTAAACGTCACGTACGGACTGCTACAATTATGCAGAGATGTGATATATCCTTTGATATCTCCCAGGATAATGTCTTTTTTAACAAATTCAGTCTGTTACTTTCTGAACAAATTTAGTTTACCAATTTATTGTATTACTTTGTTAGATGCATTGAGATAATACATATTGATTGCAGCAATGCATCTAACATTCCGCGGAATTCATAACTTGATCTGATACCTATTTGCAAAAGAGAATACAAGTATACTTTAAAAAAAAATACTTCGTGCATACACTCAGAACATTTGATACATTTGCTGCTTGACCCTGCACTGGACTGACTGACTGATTGATTTATACTCGAAGAATGTGAGTGAGCGAAAGTGATCAGATTATTTGGTAAGATGATTCAACGATAATTACACAAAAAGAAAAAAAAATGCATTATTTTTGTTGCAAATATAAAATTTTAAAAATAGAACAGAAAACTTATCTGCTTCAAGCAAAGCTACTGCTTATGGAAGATATGCGAAAAGTTATCGACTACTAAACACAAAATCAATCAACCAGTCAGTGATCACAATTGTATTTTTCCATTGTGAACTCTGTTATTGTTATTCCTCGACATTTAAACCTGTTTTACGATTAGTTTTTCTTA